CATAGTCGTGTCCCACCACCAATGGTGAATGCAGGTGCAGGCATCTACCAGTTTTGGAAAGTGCGTAACAGGCATTGATGCTTCAACCACCAAACGGTTAAGTGCAAGCTGGACAGCCTGTGATCCGTTAACCGCCAAGACGACATCATCAGCGTAGTCTGCATTCACAACTCGACTACCTGGGTAGTGTTCAACGCCTGTGTTCAGTGAATCTTCCAGAGCATATTTAGTGAACAATATGTGAAAATTGAAAAGGAATGTGTGATAGAGTATCTGTGTCGAACTCCACTGGTGCAATAAAAGAAGGCGAAAAATTGTCATAAGTCCTAACTCTACCCGAGGTCAGACCACACAGCACAACACATACCAGAATGAAATTCCTGAAGTTCTGTCGACAGAATCTAAGGCAGGAACACAAACAGAGTTAATTTTGATACACATGGGGGATCTCGAGAATCTGATTAGGTGTGAAAATGTGATCGACACAGCCGTGACCAAGGCGGAACCCAGCCTGCTCTTCTCGCTGTAGCGATTCGCACGTTGGGGATAGTTTACGAAGCAAGACGGACACCAGAAGCCTATAGACAAACGGAACCAAACTGATATTCATGTAGCTGGAGCACGCTGTACCCATGTCGGCCGCTGGCCGAAATGATTGCACGCCATGCTTGGAATCTTTAGGTCACCGGTTCGAATTCGCGTAAGTGCGCGCGTCCTTGCGGTATACTCAGGCCATGCGTGACCAGTGGTGGTCTCGTGGCAGCGAAGTGTTGGTACAGTGTGCTGGCGTACTGCTGATGACTGAAACCGTACGCAGGCCCTTTTGAAAAATGGAGTTGACTATCCATTTACCCCAAGACAATGGAACCTACCCTTTTGACCAGGCTTTTGAGTACAAAACGGTGAGTTCTCGAACCGACAAATAGCTGGTTTGCAAGGTAGACCATATGGAGTTCCTGCGGGATTTCTTGGTGAGAGGAAATATCTGTGGAATAGACCGCTCAATCCTAGTGCGACGGGTCAGAGGAAACAGATGGATCTGGAGGCCGGCGAAACCGTGATCCAAAGTGTGCAGGCCATCGTTCCAACCGTGCTTGAAGATGGGTGATTTGTGAGTCCTCTGCACCGATGGTTTCGCTTACACCAGATCGGGAACCTTCAGTGACTAGGATGAGATGGAAAGTGTTCTGGTATTACCAGAGAGATTAGCAAGTTCCATCTCCATAGCACGTTCACACCACCAAATTTCATGATCCATCTGTAAAGTACTGCACATTTCTTGACCCAGTGATCGGCGCTGTTCACCGCAACTTGCCTCGGCCGGGGACGAGCGGCGTCTGTCTATCAGCGGCAATGAGACAGCGGAGATTCAGTACTTCTGCAAGTGACGAGCACCTCAAGTACTATCGATATTGGCAGAAACTAAGGCATGTTTGATGAGAATTTGTTGTGAATTCAAATCATCCTCAGAATCTGAGGCAAGCAGTGTTTATAGTGATGTCTGTTATTTGGCTAACGGTGTAGGGTTTTGTAGATTTTCGATGTTCGATCGGTAATGCGTACACCTGGGCGATTATCCGAAACGCATACAATCCTTATCACGAACCAATGCATGACCCGAATCCGGTCAAACGCCTTGCACGAAATTTGATAAACGCTACTATTATAGAAACTGGATTTCTGTATCCTGTCGGCCCAAGATAGTTGCACACGAGTAAGCGCTGTCCTTGCTATTTATTTTATTTTTCTCGCCTATGATGTGAACAATAACCACTCCCCTGTTGCTTTATGTGCGTACATTCTCATTTCAAACTCCTCCTGTAAGCGCCCGAACTGACGACTCCAGTATGCTTTCGTTATCTTTTTTTGGCAAGCTAAACACCCTACGGGACATGTCAAGCACCTGCTTTTTTACCCGTTATAAATCATTGTTCATTGTTCAATTTGACTAATACCCTCGGCCGTCTGTTATGCTTTAGTAATATCTCCAAACTACTACTGTGTGGTCAAGCTGGGGCCTGTCTTGAGTTGGAGTAGGCGAGTGCCATGCAGCGGTTTGTCTTTTTGAGTGCCAAGAACGGATATTCGAAGGAAACAAGCGGTGATCAGATTAAGCCGTCAGTGGTCTGTCACCATTGTCTGGTCGACTGTTATCTAGGCAAAAACAAATCCCAAGATCGTACTAGCTTGCTGACATGAGGCCCATTCGTGCGTTAAAGCTTCCCACAAGAATGACAATATCAGCCTTCTTGGGGAAACGCAGGTGATGTAAATGTTGGTAATAGCGATCGTTGGCTGCGTCCGGAAGATAGCCCGTAGGTAGGTAGGCCGAGACTACAAATAATGCATATTTAACCTCTTGACGCTTACTTACCTCGCGTCGAGTAGGGCCGGTCAGAAACTTGGCACTCGGGAGGTTTAAACGCTCTATCTTGCCGCAAATGCTGAACGTCTACGTGAGGCCCCACGTGGAATAGGCGATGTAAGCTTGGCGGCCTTGGCGCAAACACGACGTTAATGAGCAAGGCTACCAAATTCTTAAGGAATTGGTTTCAGCTTCCACACTAACGCAGACTGCAAGCCCTAGACTCGTACAGTTGTGAATATCGGCGCCTGCGATGAGACCATACCATGGTGTGCCAGATACTGGCTAACTCCAATCACGCCTGTCGCGATCTGTTGCCAGTCAGCCGCACCAATAATCTGAGAGACTATCAGCTCCTACTGACCACGGACTACAACCGACCTGATTGCGGAAATGTTTTCTCCCTTTGGGTATTCCGAATCTGGAACACTCTCCAAACTCACCTCACGTTATCTCAACAATAACGCTTTCAAAAATACCTTTTCGACATACCATCCGATCTGCATTACGTGATATATTTCGTTTCACACGCATGACGAAATAATGGGGACCAAACAGTTTGCCCACTAACCTCCGTAACGTAGCGGTGGGCAACCTGCCTCTGGGTACAGGTGAATCGCTTGGTGAGTCACATAACACCCGAAATCCCTCTTATTTGTCATTTTTACCTTCGACTGGCCAATCTTCGGTTAGGTCATCCTACAGGACTTGTCAAGCATTGGTTTTTTACCCGTTATAAAACATTGTTCGTAGTTCTTAAACCATGTAGTTCGACCACACATAACCAATTTTTGACAGGAATCTAGTCAAGCGTAGTGAACTCACTCCTGTCACTCAGTGCAGACCCAACACCTGCCTGGCTAGAAGTGGTTTTCTCTGGGTCCTAGTAAGCACGTAATTGGCATTTGACGTCAGTGTTTTGCCTAGGATGTGATTCATATCATGGTGCTAGAGTCTCACAATCTGGTTTCTAAAAGGCAGCATGTCTACCAAGAGTGTATCAAGAGTGCAGGCGAGACATCCTTGCCATCCGAGCTGCATCAGAGTGCGAATATTCAATGATGCGAGGCTTGAATTGAGAAATAGGTCGAAGAAAATCTGGGTCTCAAACGGAGTGTGTGGAGATGATCACCGGGTATCGAGCACCGGTTTAGCTGTTAATCCCCTGGGAAGCGACCAGTGATCTGTTGTTAGCTTTTACCGGTGAGGAAATAAAAGTATAGTTGAAGAACGGGACGTGAGGCGATCTGTGAGTGAGAACTGAGCGATGAAACAACAGAGCCAGTAGACAGCAAAAACGAAAGCAACATCACAATCCATTTAGTGGGTGTGATACTGCCTAGGTGCCAAGGCCAAGGTAGAGTTCTCTTAGAAGGCCCTAACCAGAGCCTTTGATAACAGATCTACAAGGCAGCAGGGCGATATGAGGGTGTCACAACCCGTTGAGAACCGGTGACTGATTAAGTGATTGCTATCCATTCCGGTCCACAAAGTACCCAGAGCCCAAAAGCCCTTGAATTACAGTGCCACTCAAAGTGAGTCAAGGGACAGTGGTATTATTTAGCGGTAAGTCTTGTACGTTAGGTCACGGTGTTTTTAAGTGTACGTATGTGGCTTTTCATGAGGAACACGCTTAACAGATGAAAACGCACTACGTTCTGCTGCGGAACCAATAATGTCGCCACTTTTATCTTTAATCAACCGACAGACAATCGTAACTTGGGAAAGACGGAGTTCCCATTGTTCATAAGAATAGCTCGAACAAGAAATACGCTACCATCAAGTCATTACATTGTGCCAGCTGTGCGCGCATATCTGCTCTCTGGTGGTGCCGGTTGCCTCAACAGTCTCTTGGCATTATCATGACCCAAGAACACCGTCAACAGAAGTGGATCAGTACATGGGACCTAGCTGACGGGTAACTATGGTTGCCTGGGCAAACATTTGAATGTTTGGTGGTATTTGCTATGCGTCTTTTGGGAAGAGGTAATTGCGGGCCAGCTCCAAAACACTCGAATGAATTAGTTTTAGACGGTTGGATTTATGCTTGATGTGTGCTGGACGTGTGGGTGGGGTCGTTTATGGCATAGACCCCTTGCTGCGCAGGCCTAATCTGATTGCTCTCGCAATCAGCAGTGAGTAAACACGGAGACCGGAATTACCATTGGCATGCCCGCTGGCCTGCAAACGCTACTCGCACGCACTTGTAGTCTTGAGCACCTTACAGACAACTTTGCTAATATACCCACATGCAAAGCTGCTCGAGCATTTGATGTTTATGGAATTATTTACTTGTATATTACTGAAACTAGGACATAAGTTGTCTAGTGCCAAATAACTTGGCATATCAGGTTGGTTCATGACAAAGGATAGCAAGTGGGGACCGAATCATCGCAAGGGCAATGGAATTGTGATAAAACTAACGTCATCCTGCACGGAATTTAAGCATTATTTTTAGAGGTCTGTAGCACAGTACCGATAGCTGCATTCCCAACGCGCGAGATATATCGGTGCGATGTCTAGCATCGTAATGTCCTGCCTCCCACAGTCTCGCTAGGAGTTAGAAGTATATTTTTATGAAAACAACACTTTTGGATATCAGTACATACAAATCATATTACGCTGAATATCTTACCTGACTGAGTATGACTTTCTCCCCTTCACTAGAAAACATGGCCTTGATGTCCAACCGACTATCAAACTCAAGTTTGGCTATCCCTTCAAAGCATTTCTTCAGATGTGGCTGTACACGCAAAGGATCTTTAGTTTCGGAGAGAATTTCCAACATTTCGTCATTCGAAAGAAAGAAGAATCGGGCGAAAAATAGACGCTTTCTCTCCAAATATGCGTTCAAGCCTTTGTTGATTTTATCCAATAGAGCGTTGCTGTCTTTGAGTCTCTCCTTGATCCCTGGGAATGCGGTGGCCTTGAGATAGACAAAGAAATACGCTCAATATAAATTCAACCACAAGTTAGCATTAACATTCACTGTTTCACCATCGGACGTCATGGCCTAGATCAGGGGCCACCAAACTTTTTCACAGCGGGCCGGATAACCAACAAAATGACAACCGCGGGCCGCTTTAGTTTTCTATATAAGGTGGCCATAGGTCCCCATTTAGGCGGGACAGTCCCGCCTTTTAAGCTGTTGTCCCGCTTTTTAATAATGCTGCACGGGACGCCCACTAGTGTCCCGCCTGGAAATCGGAGACGTCAGAATATTCCGCTTTGAGCATATGGACTGTAGGTGAAGAAAAGCAAAACCAATCAGTGGCAGTGCGTGCATATCATAGTACCAAAATAAGTGGGTAGGATAATCGATGCGTGGGTGGGAAACGCGGCAAGGAAATTTTCTGACAGTATAATGTGAAGGCAGAAAAATAATGATGAAATTTCTGCGTCTTTAATGGAGAACACCTGCATTAAGTACAGTTTGGTGGGAAAATCATGTCTAAACGGATGTGTAAGACTACTCAATTGGAAAGTGATTTCCACACATTAAGGCAACACGCGACATCGATTCGCATGTTCGAGGTGACATACAAATCCGAATTTTCTATTGCTCAGGGTGGCAGATCAGGTATGACAAAACACCTAAAATCGGATCGCTATGTGATAGCAGTGTCTGCGGTAGCATCTTCTATCCCTGTAACAAATTATTTACGCTCAGCAACGTTTGAAAACACAGAAGCCAAGTTAGTAGACGTAGGAGGTACCTTCGTTTATCACGCTGTATTGCATAACCACGGTTTCCGCTCCACGAATTGCACCAGCAAGTTCGTAGAGTAATTGTTTGAGCCGAAGTTTGCTGGTGCGCACAAAATGTGAGGCAATACTAACCAATATACTGTTCCTATTTATCAGAGACCAAGTAAAAAAATTGAAAAAGCAAAATTTGTGTCAATATTCACGGACGCCTCAAACCATAAAAAAGTATAGGTGTTCCCACTCCTTGTAAGATATTTTGTACCGTCTTCGAGTATTGCAGTGGAGTTATCAGATCTGCAGTCACTCGCTGCTGACACATAGGACAACACTTTAGAATTTGTAAAAAATGTGTGGGAACAAAATAATATGACCAGAAAAATTGTAGGATTTTGTGTTGATAACGCCAAATAAAAATTTCGGTGGCGTTCAGAGGAGAGGAAGAAATAATGTATTTGCGAAATTGAGATCTTAGATTGAAGAAAAACCTGTGGGAATTGGTTGCGTGGCTCACATTGTCCACAACACGTTGGAAACGGCAGCTGAATGTCTCTCTATTGATGTTGAAATAATTGTGGTGAAGATATATGCTTACTTTTACATTTAAACTGTTCATGTTGAAGAACTAAAGGAATTCTGTGTCTGCAATGATGGAGTCCCAATGCATTCTAGGATATGGAAAAACCAGATGGCTTTCATTTATGCAGGCAGTGGAGAGAATCCTGAAGCTCATTTCAGCGTTGGAATTCTTTATTTTTGTCTCCACAGAAGTGCCCTACAGTATTACCATGTTTCTTTGAAAATACCTGTGCTGAGCTGTGGCTCTTCTTTATACACAACGTCACTGCTATTTCTTACGCTACTGTACTTAAAATTGAGAAACAAAATATTTCAGCACTGGAAGTATCGTCTGCAATGTACGAACTCCTGCAGAAGTACGTGCACATGAGCAGAAACAGCTTCGTCCCAAACGAGGTAAAGATTCGATTTCGTTAAATCGAACAAGCGGGTCTCATCAGAAAAACTGATGTAATGAATAATATCACTAGCTCCTACGACAACTGCGTCGATTACCTTCAGGAAAGAATGGACCAAATGCAAGAACTAAGTAGCTTTAGTTGTGTGGCATTGAAACAACCATCATCCTGGGAAAAGGTTGAAGCAAGCGTCAGTCTTTTGGGATCTAAACTCCCAGAAGTGGAAATCAAGGACAACATGCTGTTTGGCGAAGTTAACAGCGTGTGTAGGTTTGCATCAGCCGACAAAATTTCCCATTGGAACTGTAAACAGCTAAAGGTTGACATGTGGCGCGTAGAAGTGTTTTTCGATTTCCAGACCCATTTGGTCCCATGTGAACAAATACAAAAACTGTGAATTTATTCTCTGTCTCGCTGGGACTACTGCACCTACTGAATGTTTTCACACATGAACACTGTATGGACAAGTTGGAAAAGGCAGCATAACGTTCAAACACTGAAAACGATGCTTATGGTGAAATGCAATTTTGAGGACAAGAGCACTGGGTATCCCTGCGAACGAGTTCACGACATGCTGATGCAGCGCCGAGATATACTACGGTAAATACATTCATCTCAGAAGTATTGCTCTACCACTTTGGTTCTAGACGATACAATGTCAAGCAGCAGATCAATTTCAGTAGCGCAACCAATGTACTGACTAATGACGTAAGTACTCGTTGTTATTGCAATGCCATAATGCATGTAGATATTTAGCTTTTAAATTTTTTGTACAGTCTGCATATGCTGAAACCATGGGGGTAGGCTAAGCGTCCCGCTTTGACCCGCAAAATATCTGGCCACCCTATTTCTATACAATATTCACAGCCCAAAACGAAAGTCTTGAGCAAATAAAATAATAAATTAAGTTCAGCATTCCATGTTAGACATGGGTGGGTGATGCGCGACCTAGAAAACACAAACATAATCAACGTCTTTATTAACTAAAAATACTCAACGTGGGAGGAATACGCAAAAGATAGTTACCTCAGACGTTTAGTGCACACATCCGGAAGGCACAACTAAACAGCTAGGATTAGTGAGATTTGTGAAAATGAGGCTTAACAGCTACATTTTCAGATACTTTCTTGAAAAGTTCTCTGGGTTTCTAAAGCAGGTTTTATGGAATCACATTTCTCCCAGCTTTGCTTCCAAGACTACTTTTGCTTTGCTGGTAGATTTTTTGTCACATAATGACGTCGGATATGGTGCTCTTTCAAAACGGCGACACGTTCGCCGCATATGACACAACTGGTTTTCCGGTCCGCAGTTTCCACAAAAATTATTTTACCCCCATTCTTTGTTGAAAGCGCTACACTAGGTGTGCAATTTCCTCTTCTTAGTGGACATAAGTGGCTTCCGTACACGTAACTGGGTCCAAACGAGGCTTATTCATATTTCTCTTGAATTACTGGCAAGGACAGCCGAAGACACCGCGGTGTGCTCTTGTCATCGAGACGACTGCGTGGGTCACGTGAGACTGGCACGCAAGCAGGTGAGTGGGGTCAAGGGGACGTTCAAGTTGGAAAAGTACAATTCAAGTGCCAACCGATAATACATTACGGATGCATTTTTCAACGATGCAAGAACTTGCTACACTAATTGTCATTTCCATTGCACAGCCTGTTTTCACCCCCACGCACCGTTTAGGATTAGATAAATGAACTGCATAAGTTGTTTCACCTTAAAGCATGACCGCAATAAGCATGTTTCTCCGGTATTAAGCAGATTCGTATCGTTTATTTTGGTGGGCTCTTCGATTTTCGGGATGAAACTGTAAACCGCTACTGTGGAAGGCGGGAAAAGAAACCGTTTGGAGCTGGCAATCATACACTATAGTATTCAAGTGTTTGGGTGGACTGAGTCTTGGTGCCCCTCCAGCGTTAGGTGAACCGTTTGGCTCGCAGAGGTCAATGGCCTAGTGCTAAGGATATTAGTCGTTTTGCATACCTGCCTGGTTCCGCTGTTATCTATGGCTGTTCCTGGAATGTTCAAACTAGGACGAAACCGGCCTTGGAGTGCAGCGTCTGGAGCAAGGAACACCAGAAATATCTTCATCTTGGTAGTTGTTTTCGTTCGGGTCACCCACCGTGTGCTCCCTATATGAACCTTAAGGATAAGCGCGAGAGACTATCTATGTAACAATGAGCGGTGCCTGAGATCTCGGTAATTTGAAAAAAATGCAAACCGAGAAATACAATGCAACACTCAACCTTCAGATACCTTAAGGACGTTTGGATCCTTTACGGTATTCCTCATTATATCTTTCCAGTTCCTATCGACCACCTGGAATAAACGGCCCTCCTCTGGCATTTGCTGCATGATATCTTCAGAGCCGAATATCGGTTCCAGATACAACCACTGTGCTTGCATTTTGAGCCACTCATCGATCGTCTCTTGAATATAAAGCAGTCGCTCTTCCCATTGCTGAAGTATCAAAAACAAAACAGGGTTGTAATTCTTTTAACCGTTACTATACATAAGTAGACAATAGCACAAAACACACTACAAATAGTGGATAATTCGCGTTATACAAGTTCGCGAAGCTTCTGTGCATTGTTTTCTGACCACTTGTACTGGCCAGGAAGCAATCCTTGATGTGGGAATAAAACATCTTGACTTTAACTAGTGGACTGGTAAAGCAAGAAAAAACTAGCGGCTTTGTCAACAAATACGCGAAACGTCAGATATAGGGAAACTAACGCAGTGCAGTACGTCACCATCATGAAAGACACCCCGAAGTCTACACCACATTTTTGGCCTTCACGTATAACATAGTGGAAAATGTAGCGTATAAAGTTTAATTATTTACTGCAGACACTAACTTTTATTTCGACTTCAAACGGTTTTATGAATGGAGATCCCCTCATTGTTTGCGTCTTCACGATTTGATCGTCCAACATCTGCTGTATATCATCAATGGATGCCAGTATAGAAACTCCGGTTTCACGATAGGCAGTCAATCCGAATGCCACTTCATTCCAGTCATCACGCATCCTTTTCATATTTGTTTCAAGTGTGAATTCTTTGCTTGCTCCTGCTGAAATGCTCGCGAACTCTTCCATGTATTGATCCAGGTTTAACTGAAGCATCTTGGCTAAGGAGGTACCGCTGTCTGGAGTCAGGTCTTGCCCTGCAATCAGCGACATCTGCTCCCAGTGGCGCTTACGGATTCCAGGATTGCACAGTACACCGATAGTTGGAATTATCTCCTGCAAGATAAGCAACAGATTGGGCCGTATGTGAGCGATACGATGAAGCATACTTTGAAGGGGAACTAATGAGTTATGTAATATGGATACCACTACTATAGACATTACACAAGCCCTGCTTTTGGCACGGTTGCCTATTACATTGGAGACCAGGTAACAAGCAAGTGACTTGGATATGCATGTATCTTATTCCCATTCTGCTTGCTGTGTCGCCGCTGACTGTTCATCCCCACGATCACAAGAAGAATACGAGGATGAGCCAGGACCGTTGTATTTATTAGAACACTGCTTCCTCATATAAATTACAATAGTTCATGAAAAAAAATTAGTGAATCCCGTTGGAGTCAACCAACCTAACGGGAAACAACGAATGTTACTAGCGAATGAGAAGTGGCATAAAAAAGAACCATTCAGGCGCGTTCTAGGAAACGGCATTATCAGAAACAGACGCTTGAGACAGAATCCATTATGAACGACGTAGGTCAGCTAGTCAGAGCAAAGGAATGATACGTTTAAGCAATTGTCAAGAAATGAATGATGGTGAAACGAAAGCAGGCGACTAAGAACTGTAGCAAAAAATAGATGCTCAGTGAGCATCCCCTAACACATCCCTCTTCTACCGTGAAGTATACCAGCTCTTAGGCAGAGCTTGCAAATCTGATTTGTTGTCAT